TTCCAATATCAAAAAGTATTATCCATTTCAGCAAAGGAGTCACTCATGTCATCAACGAACGTGTGAAGTTCCGACATACATCTTTGTTGTTTCACTTTCGTCTTATTAAGACAAACAAAAATATCAGCCAACATTGATGTGGGAACCACGCTTATTCATCAGTTGCAATCGTGGGTGGGGTACAGACACAAGAGTCAACGAAGGGGTTTTAAGTCAACTGGCCACATGAAATTTGTAAACAGTGTATTGTATATGTGATTGTATATTTTGCATATATTGGAGATTTTATTATTTGTAAATTGTATGCTCACATCATTTACATCAGTAAAATTTATAATAAACATGTTTGTGTATATATACATATATATATGTATATATGTGTACATATGTATGTATGTGTGTGTGTGTGTACATATATACATATACAGAGAAAGAGAGAGAGGGGGGTTTACATTTACTTTCCTGGAAAGCTGCTGTCACCCATTTATCAGCACATCACTGCTTTCAAGCATTAGTAGGGCAGGCCCCAGCCTGTCTGCATAGCACAGAAGGCAAGAGGTTTGGCCTGGATAGTTCAAGCACGGGCTTGGGGAGGGCATCCAAGGCCAGGCCACCATGAGGTCAGGAGAGACCAGAGTGGTGAAGGAGAAGCACCTGGGCCTGCAAAAGACGAAAGGGCACAAAACCAGACACTACTCTGGGGCAATGGCAGTGGCCACGAATTGGGGTGTCGACCTGCTCACCAGGGCCTGGAGTCCAGCCCCTCCTGGCTTGCCTGCTAAGTGTGAAGGGACCCTCTTGGCATTACCCACTCAGTGAGTCAGTGGCCTGGAGCCCTGCCAGCAAAACAAAGGGGACTCATCCCTGCCTGGACAACAGTGGATCTGAGGAGCCCTGGCTGCCTAGATCTTCGTGGTGCCCCAATTCTTTCAGCTTCTGCCTGGTGCAGGCTCCTGACCTAAGGCCCCAACCTAGCCCGGCCTTGTGGCACCCTCCCAAGTGGGTGCTTTCCTGAGGCAGGGAGCCAACTAGCCCTCCTCAGGAAGCTCAGCAGTGTACTGATCACATTCCCAAACTAGCCCCTGCCCGTCTTTCCCTTATCTCCCACCCTTCCCACCACTCCTTCCATTCGATCTTTGGCCAGGTCCCAATCCCTTTACTCCTTTCTCGTTCACTTGTCATTGTCTCCCTCCAGGCCTGCTCTCATTTTCCACATAGCAGCCTGAGAGGTATTGTAAAAACAGAAACCAGCCCGGCTGGTGTGGCTCAGTGGTTGAGCATCAACCTAGGATCCAGGAGATCTCTGATTCCCGGTCACTGCACATGCCCTGGTTGCAGTCTTGATCCCCAGCAGGGGGCATACGGGAAGCAGCAGATCAATGACTCTCTCATCATTGATGTTTCTATCTCTCTCTCTCTTTCTCCCTTCATCTCTATGAAATCAATAAAGATATACTAAAAAACAAGAACAACATCAACAAAAAAACAGAAGCCAGATCTTGCCCCTCTTCTGCTTACAACCCTCTGTGGCTCCCCATTGCTCTCAGGGTCAGTCCAGACTCTCTGGCCCAGTGAATGAGGATGACCTGACAAGGCCACTGCCTGTGATCTGGCCTCACCATTCTGCAATCTTGCACATTGTAGTGGCTCTAGTCACTTTGACCTACTTAGGGTTCCCCAAACGGGCCCAGCTGGATCGACTCAAGGCTTTGCTCATGCGAGTCATTCTCGGGTGTGGCCATTCCACCCCTTCTCACCTGTTCTCCCTGTCTCTTGGACATCCCTTCCGTGCCTTGCCCCATTGTTTGGTGACACAGGTGGGGGCCCCCAGAAGCAGGTTAGTTGGCTCCCCAAGAAGTCCAGCCAAAGCAGCTGCCAAGACGCTGCCCTCCCCACAGAGCAGCCTCCTGGTCCTCCTTAGGCCATGTCATGAAAGACACAGGGCCCAGGACGGACTCCTTCCCAGGAGTCACCCTCACTGCACCCGCTACCCCACCTCTTCTACATGCCTCAGGTCTGCTGTGCAGCCCAGCCTGCTTCTGAGTGTGGCCTGGCACCCTCATCATACCCCTCACCCTGCACATGCCAGTGGAACCTTTGCATGTATGTGCCTGCGTGTGGCCGTGGGTACCTCCCTTACTCCTCAGCACCCCGATCATGCCAGGCACTGTGTTGCTTTGACAACCTATCATATCATTTCATCCTGTTGCAGAGCCGGCACAGAGGCTCTGGGAGAGGAAGGAATTGGCTCAGGGTCCTGCTTAGCTCCCTTGGCTGAGAAAGCCAGAGTTCCCTGGAGGCTGAGGCAGCAGCTCCTTCTTCCTTCTCCATCCAGGGCACATATTCAGGGCCACAGCAGATATCCCTAAGTCCCTGTTCACTCATTTCTTGGGTCTCTGAAGTGACAATGCAGGGAGGGGGTGATAACTGAGGCAACGGTAGAACAGCCAGGGAGGAGGCCTGTGGTTCGCGGTGCACATGCAAGCACTGACATCTTTCCCACCCACACCCCACCCTGGGCTCACTACAGGGATAGGCCACAAGGGGCCGGCCTTGAGGGGCTCTCCTCTGGCCCCTGGCTGGGCTCCCTGCCTGCCCCTCTGGGCAAGGCACAGAGGTGTGTGACCAGAAAGTCAGCTGGTGAACAGTTGGCGATATTTATTGTGAGACGGGGTGAAGAGTGGAAGCCCGAAGTGGCGAACTCCAGTGGGCAGGGGCGAGGCTGGGGGTCTAGGGAAGGCCTGGCAAGTGCCCGGCTAAGAGGATGCCTGGCTAAGAGGATGCCTGGCTAAGAGGATGGGGTGAGGCAGCGAGGTACTGGTCTGGTGCCTGCTCCAGGCCTCAAAGTCCTGCTGAACGGTCAGTGCTGGTGCTGCTTGTGGTGCAGGAAGTGGGCCTTGTTCCCCTGGGTGGTGATGTCACCAAGCCCCTGGAGCTCAGACCTCGAGGCTTGGGCCATTATGCGGTGTATACATGGGCTTGATGTGAGCCCAGCTACAGGCCTGCTCGTCAGCCCAGGCAAGCAGCTCAGCAGCACGATGCAGAAAGACCATAAGCAGGGTGTGCACATCTCCCTCAGCCGAGTGGGCTGCAGTAGGCTCTGCCTGGAAGTAGCGGCGAAAGAGGCTGCCCAGGCTGTAACCCTTGCTGCCCTGGGCCCGGGTGCCATGGCTGTGGGCACGGTCCAGGCCCCGCAGTGCTGGCAGCGTATCCAGGCAGGTAGTATCCTGAGGCAGGTGGGCACCTAGGCGCTGCAGCTCTGTGCACAGCAGGGGAAAGTCGTAATCAAAGCCATTGTGGGCCACAAGGCAGATGGGGCCCTCCTGGCGGCTCAGGAAGGCCTGTAGTGTCCTCACCACAGCCTTGTCGAAGCTGGCCTTCCGGCACTGTGCCAGGCCCTCGCTGCTCAGACCAGTGATCTCACTGGCCTTAGAGGTGAAGGGGCGCTCCGGGCACATGCACAGTGTGAGCTTGTCCAGGACCCGAGGCAGCACAGGAGTGCCAGCCTCATCACACTCCAGGTTCTCCAGAGAGGAGCGATGGACAGCAAACAGGGAGATCTCGGCAATCTCAGGGTCCACACTGGGGAGCCCAGTGGCTTCCAGGTCCAGGAAGACAAAAGTCTCAGCCCGGGGGACCTCAGACATGGTGACGTTCGCACAGGGGCAGTGACACCTAAAGTTGCCAGAGCAAGAGGCACAAAACCTGAGGGCCAGAGTTGGGGATGCCTGGGCCGTCACCTGCAGGTGTTCCAGTGGCCAAGGCTCCAATCCCTCTGGGTCTACTTCCTGCCACCCCCACCC